CCACTCTTCCTCTTGGGAAGCAGGTTGTCGGTTGTAAGTGGGTTTATACTGTTAAGTATTTACCTGATGGTAGTGTTGAGCGCCTGAAAGCTCGATTGGTTGCAAAAGGGTACTCCTAAACCTATGGTATTGACTACACAATGACCTTCTCCCCAGTTGCTAAGATAGGTTCGGTTTGTGTTGTGATATCTCTTGCTGCTATGTATGATTGACCCCTTTATCAGCTTGATATCAAGAATGCTTTTTTGCATGGTGATTTGCTCGAGGAGGTCTACATGGATCAACCACCGGGGTTTGTTGCTCAGGGGGAGGATGGAAGGTATGCAGACTAAAGAAGGCTATATATGGGTTTAAACAGTTTCCTCGAGCATGGTTTGGTAGGTTCAGTGAGGTGGTAAAGAAGTTTGGTATGAAACAATGCCAAGTTGATCATTCCGTCTTCAGTCATGACTCTCAGGCAGGAAAAATCCTATTGGTAGTGTATGTAGATGACTCTACAGGAACAATTTCAAACAAAGGACCTTGGTAAATTGAAATATTTCTTGGGGATAGAAGTAGCAAGATCTAAGCATGGTATTAATTTGTGTCAGAGGAAATATGTGCTTGATTTGCTAGAGGAAACAGGTTTGTTAGGTGCTAAACCAACTGAAACACCTATAGAAACAAATACTAGGTTGAGCAGTGATATGGGTGAAGTGTTTGAAGACCCTGGCAGATACTGGCGACTTGTAGGTAAACTGAACTACCTAACCATTACTCGGCCAAATATTTCATCTGTGGTTAGTGTGATAAGTCGGTTCATGCAGAAACATCTGGTTCCTCATTGGGATGTTGTTCTAAGAATTGTGAGGTATGTAAAAGGGGCCCCTGGTCGTGGTTTGATATACAAAAGTGGTGGAAAACTTGAAATAGAAGGGTATACTGATGTTGACTGGGCCGGTTCTATGTCTTATAGGAGGTCTACCACAGGCTATTGCACTTTTCTTGGGGTAATCTGGTGACATGGAAAAGTAAGAAGCAGATAGTCGTGGTGAGAAGCAGTGTAGAGGCAGAATATAGAGCTATGGCACGTACTGCTTGTGTATTAGTGTGGCTAAGGAACCTTCTACAAGAGATAGGATACAATATTAACACTCCAATGAAGCTCTATTGTGACAATCAGGCTGCAATTCATAGTTCTTCTAATCCGGTGTTTCATGAAAGAACCAAGCACATAGAGGTTAACTGTCACTTTGTGAGAGAGAAGGTGCTGAATGGAATGATAGACACTGCATATGTTAACACAGGGAACCAGTGGGCAGACTTATTTACAAAATGATTGAGTCGGGGAAGAGTGGACTACATATGTAACAAGCTGGGACTATATGATATATACTCTCCAGCTTGAGGGGGAGTGTTAGTGTAGGGGTATTTCTGTCTTTATACTTATGTTAAGGTTGCTGATCTGTAATATTATATTAGAACTAGTGTCCCTCACTTAAATAAGGGCACATGTGTCTTTTCCATTATGTTAGTAATATAAAACATGTCTAGCCGAATGGGAGAAGTGATCTTTCCTAATTCGAACCAGGCTTTTCTTCTCTCCTTTTCTCCTCCTTTCTCTCTCTCTTTCTTTCTTCTTTCTTCTTCTCTCTTCTTGGCTGTTATCAAACTAACAGAACTCAAAGGCAGGCCGAATTATAATATTTTCAAATATGGATGTACATATTCCTTGACCCCTTTCTGATTGGAACTTCCTTTTATATGCTTCTTTCCACATATTGGTATCTTTTTGCTCTGGTGTAAAGGAGATATTTGCTTTGCTTAAGGTACAGAAGAAGACAATGCATATGTTTCTGCTCCACATGATAAGGTTCTCGACTGCATTACATCTTGCATCTCTGTGGCACGTCTAAGTGATCTTCTTGAACAGGGGAATAATTTGATGAATGTTTTCTTGTTTGCATTGTCGCCTGGGTTGCCATGGACAGGTATTTTTTTTATCCATTATAAATTGAACAAAATCACTTGGGTTTAATTGTTTGCATTTTCTACTTCTCTTAATTGTCTTCATTTTGGTAACTATTGCTACCATGGGACTCCTGAGGCCAGTCAAAATGGCAACTTTTTCATCAATGAAAGAGTTGTTTTCAAAGCTCCAGAGCATTGTCAACTCTCTGGATGCCCGTCTATATGCTAATGCAACTTCTTTGATTCATGAGGTAATTCCAAATCTTGATTTTCTGTTTATGGTTATCATGTATTCTTGTCCATCTCACTTCTTCAGTTGTACTTTCTTCAGATGTTTTGCTTTGTGCCACTTAAGCTAACTGAATGCATGAAGACAGTAAAGATTGCCCAGGTATTCTTCCTTCCTCCCCATTGAATATTCCACTCGAAAACAGTTAAAACCAAAAACAATCAACTTCTTAAATCTTGCAATCTCATGTACATTCTTTCTATCTTATTATTTGATGATATGTTTACCAAAGCAGGTAAAGTATTCTTTCTCCATGTGTGTCTGAGGTGGCAACCTATAAAGGCTCCACTTGGTACACCATATTAACCCATTCCAGTGAAGCAAATTTTAGCCTAACCAAATAAAACTTCTTTTTACCTTTGTTTATTTAAATAAAGAGTTCAAGAAGATGAACTGGAAAGAAAATGCAAGGGATATTATTTGTAAAAGGGAAAATAAACGTGTTTGCTTTTGTTTATTCCCTCATATACAGTCTTCTTGCCATGCAACTTATCAAAAACAAAAAAGGGAAACTAGGCATATTTCTAATAGAGGTTTTTGCCCAGATTTATGTAAATATTTCTGTATACCTGAGTTATCCTTTATATCAAATTTCTTGAGAAGGTTATGACTTCAGTTGATTAGGATTCATTGGTTTCATTTTGTATACTTTCTTATATTTATTTTAATTCCCTGGATGTTATAAATGAAATTCAGGTTCACATCAGTGCATCAGATTGCCTACTTGAAATAACCCAGCTTTATAAAGCCACTGCACCTGTACAGTGGAAAGATAACGGGCTTAAGAACGATCTCGTTTCCTTATATGAGATTGAAAGGAGTGAGCAGGCCAAGTCATCATTAAGGAAATGTATCAACATTATTGAGGATCTTGAGCTAAAAAATGCCTCAACTTCTGAGATTGCACACTGAAGGCACCAAGGTGAGTAACATGTATAGAAATGGAATACAAATGTACGACATTCAAACTTGTATATAACAGCCCATTTTCTAACAGAAAAAAGGATGTGTAGAATGAAAAAAATTCATTTTTGGGTGTTGGATGTTTCTTTTTCAAGAATAAATACACACTATTTATGACTGATATTGTGTATCATGAATAAAATGACTTGAAAACAATTTTTTGTGAGAGTTGAGCCTATGATTCTTCTATAAACATACAAAATAATTTTATGTAGATATAAGCATATATTTAAATATTACCATTGAGGTGGATCCACTTACAATACAATCATTCACAAATCAAATTCATGTTTCCTTAACCAGATCAGTTTTGAATTTGACTTTGGACAAAAGAATACCATTTCCAGCCTTGTGAAACAAACTTGGGCAGTTACTACCATCTTGTGTTGAAAATTGAAATGGTCATCCAGATTTCTGTCTATAGGCAATTTAAAATGGGTCACGTTGCATGTAACAAAATTACCTGCTTTTTAATATCAATGAATTGCAACTTGTCAAAAGAAAATTCAACTTTACTGCACCGTTAATGTTTTGCCATGTGGAAAATTATGTTCTACCAAATGTAACCAGGGTATAAACTTTAAGGCTATGTTTGGTTTGAAGGAAAAGGTAGGGAAAGGAAGTGAAATTTTCCTCCCTATGCAAGGTTTGTAAAGGTTTCTCTACATTTTCCTTCCTTTTCCTACTTTTTCCTTCAAACCAAACACAGCCTAAAGTATTGATATGTATTGGTCAATATGATTCAATATGTATCACTTTTTACAGTCGCCAACTGATATGATGCTGGAAAGACATGGTACTGAAAAAACTTGCAACCAATCAACCAGCACCATTATAGTAACCAATCAGGTGAGCTTTTATCAAATTCAGGGGGAGTTGTGATTGGTCAAAGCCTTTCCCGTAACATGTCTTTCTGTCATCACAGATTTTCCTTTTGTTTTCATGGTCACACAACGGTGGTAACCCCACGAAAAAAAAAAAAAAAAAAAAAACCGTTTTTGGTATTAGACCAATGCTGCGTTAATCCAGCTATTGACTCTCCAATTAATACTATAAATCCCTCAAACATTAAAATTTGAAATTCAAATGAACTTTTTTTTTTCACTTCAATTCAAATGAACTCCTTAATCCTTGTAACCAAGGCAATATCTATTATGCCAAAAAGCAAAAGGTGTAATATATATGAACTTCGATTAATCAGTAAATCAACCCCCCCCCCCCCATCCTTTGGTGAATACCAGGTATTGGTTACCACATACCACCTTTATGATATTAGTTGTTTGGTTATTCAGGTTTAATGTCTGGTGTCATAAACTCATTATTAATGCTGTTTTTCTTTTTTCTTTTGGCTTCATGGGGTATGAGTGTAACCCATCTCCCATACTCATAGCCCCCACATCCCAGATGAAAAAGGAAATGGATCTATAGTCTCCGCTACTACCAGCTAGAGACCTTACACATTGAACCAGTTGGTACCTTCGATTGATACTGGACCTCGCTGAGTCACTCCTAATACAATGGGTCGGCTTATACATAGTGCAACAAGAGAGAAGCAAAATACACAATAAAGGAGTGGGTTGACTAAGCCATGTCATCTGATGTTTGACGAACGATTTTTTTTTCTTTTTTTTTTTGTGTTATTTGGAGCTACGCACCACTAATAGCCCTTTCCCCAAATCGGTGGTTGCGGAAATCCATTCCGCATCAATGCTGGAACAAACCAGCTAACATACCAGTGAACCGCCCCTTGGTTGTCTGACAAATGCTTTTTCAAGACATGAAGACACCCATATTCTGCATCTACCAGCCATCAGGAGCAATCACTGTCCATTACCGCTAAACTTGCACGAATTAATACAAGCTAAGTACAAAATATGAAATAACTTGGACCAGAATAAAAGGCTTCCAAGAGAAAATGGATCAGGTGTGGAGCAACTAAACCAATAGAGAGCATGGTATAATGAGAAGTAAAGTTAGAACTACCAAAATGGGGCAGAGGGGAATTGGTAATATACAATAAAAAACTCAAAAAAAATAGTGGAGCTGCAATAGAGAATCATGCTTGTACAGGAGGTGCCAGCAAGTAACAATATTAGCAACAGTGAACGCAAGCTAATGGAAGAGCTTGAACAGTGGGCAGAGATGGAGCAACCCTATTGGGTTCAAAAGAGCCAAGGAAACTGGGAGAAAGGAGATAGGAACACTAGCTACTTCCACTTTTCAGTGATAAAATTGCAGATGTTTTACCAGAATTGATTGGATAAAAATTGATAGGGGAGATAGACTACAATGCCAAAAGGGATTCAATAAACACTGACAAGCCACTGCCAATTACGTGTTCAATGCCTGTTTTTCCATGCTTAGATTAGTTGCTTAGTACAAAGGAAGAGAATAAGACTCCAAGCAATGTTTTGGGTAAAGAGGAAATCAAGATGGTGGTCTTTGTTCAAGCTGGCCTGAAAGCGCCAGCATCTAACAGCCTCAAGGCTCTATTCTACCAGATCCGATGTTCTGATTTATTTCATTCAAGACACCTTTAAGTAAGCCAATTGTATGCTATACAAGATAGTTGCAAAGATCCTGACTAGACAACTATAAACAATAAAAGTTCGTTCTAGGATGGCATATTCTTAATAAATGTATTATTGCTCAAGAAATAATCAAAGAGGTTAAGAAGAAAGGGACTGTTCTTGTTCAAAATGGATCTTTCAAAGGACTATGACAAAGTCAAGTGGCTGTTCATCCATGCCATGCTTCAAAACCTAAAACGACACCCAGATTTTTGTAAACTCATTAAGTTGTGCTCTAATACACAAAGTATTAGTGCACAAGATTGGCTATCCATTATCACCATTTACTCCTGAAAGAGGGCTACAACAAGATTGTCCATTATCATCACACCATTCTTTTTATACTTGGCATCAAGATTGGTTCAAGGTTGATGAAGCGATAGGAATTCCAACAAAGGTTGCAGCCAGTGCAATTTTACACCTAAATCCACCATGAAAAGCTTGCAGCCAACTAGACTCCCAACCTGGGGTCCCCATTAAGGCTCAGTTTGGAAGGAGTACAAATGCAAATATATAGAATACAAAACCTTATATTTTGTATTACTTTGTATGCATTTACACTGTACACATTTGCATTTGTACTCTTTCCAAGCTGAGCCTTAGGGAAATTTACTACTTTCATTAGCTTATAGCTTGGGAGGAGAATATGGAGCCTTCAATAGGTGCAAGTAACAAGAATGAGCCCATATGGAAGTTGTTATGAGCCATGAAAAGGTTACCTCCAAGGATAACAACGTTAGTGTGAATAGAGAGATGCTTGTTAAGGCATTACCCACGAATGAAGAACGGATGAAACTTTTTGATGGAGATGTCACCTGCAGTATCGATAAAATAGAACCAGAGACCATTGGCTCTCATCAATCGTTAACAATGAAAGATGAAAATTGAATGCTGATAGAATGGATGCTCATATGGGGTAGGAGCTCTACTTCATACTGTTCAGAGACATCTTCGGTGCTGTTTGAGGCCTTTGTCATTTTATGGAAAATATGAAGAATCGGAATGAGGTAACCTTCAACCATGAACAACCAAGCAAGGTGCCAACCAACTAGTTGGTAAGGTTTTCGGCTGGTTGTAGTGGAGACGTGGGACTGAATCCTGCCTGCAACTGGGTTGGGGGGATAGAAGAGGCAAACGTTTCCTCCATCCTCTACCCTTGAAGTGGAGGATCTCATGTTTAAGCAAAGGTTGTATTTGGGCTTAATCCAGGGATTGATTTATCATTGAGGGTGATTTGTAGATAGTAGTGAATGAAGACCCTTAAAAGGTAACCAAGCAACCATATCGTGAAAAATTGGCTCCATTGTTGTGGATTGTAAGTCTAAAGCAAAGGAGTTGTATCCTTTGAACATGTATTCTATTCGGGTCATGGCTGAGTTGGCCCTGTAAGACACGTGGCTGCCCAACTATTGCCCTGCCACTTCATTCTAACCCAGTCGAATCGGCATAGTTCGGCCATGTCGGGCTAGCTCGACCAAGCTATGCTATTACTTCCAGCCACGTTGACCACACATCATATGGATGAGCACAACTACGGGTAAAGAGGAGTAAGGAAGACGACTTCGTTGGGGAATGAGACTCTATCCCGAATACCTCAGTGGCTAACTCCATCCCGACAACCCTAGAAGCCCAGTTCGACCAGGACACATATCTTTACCTATAAAAAGGTACTCCATGCTCGATGTAAGGCATCCAACTTCTAAGACTTACATCGCTACTTAGCTTGAACTGGCATCCTTATAGCTCGGCCCGACCATCCTATCACCTCCTATTGACTTGAGCGCCAAAGTTCTTACCCAGGGATAACTCTTCGGGCCTCTGACTTTTGTTTCCTTGATCACAGGTCTTGAAGCGCGGCCTCTCCCTTGTAGCTTGGCCCCACCTCGCCAGCAAGGACTATTTGATTGCCTTCCTCGGTTCGTGCACCACCTCGGATTGAGCAGCATCAGATTGGCGCCGTCTGTGGGAATGACACAGAAAGCCTTTCCCAAAAATCTCATTCCTCGCCGCGCAATCAAGGAAGTGATTAAGATGCCTAAAAACCAATCTGAACGAGCAACTGGCCATTCCCCGTGTCGGGAGAACCAAGAAGTCCTACAACCTTCGGCTGCAGTAGATCCAGCGCAGTTCTGAGCCATGCAAGAAAAGGTTGATAAAATCTTTGAATTCATGCAAACACTAGGGTCTGTCGTGCCACACAACTGGGTGGTCCCCCCTTACGCCCTGGCATGCACAAAGGACGATCCTTGGACCAAGGACCCCAAAGCACACTAGTC